AGAAGCAGACTCCCTGCTGAGCAGGGAGCCCGATGCGGGACTCGATCCTGGGACTCCAGGATCATGACCTGAGCCGAAGTCAGTCGCTTAACCAACTGAGCCACCCAGGCACCCTACATGTTTATTTTAAAGTATATCATCAGATTGGGAGACACTTAATAATAAAAAGTAGAAGTTATAAACAGCAATAACATTTATGCCTATATTAAATATATACTTCATATTTTGAAAATTTTTCTTTTTTAGATTCTTTTTAGTTACATATTATCAACTATTTCTTATTATTAGTGATTGGCTTTATTAGAATAATATTCAATATGTATTAACAAGTTTGAAGAAGTCACATTTCTGCATAATTTTAGCTATGGTGCCATTTTGCCTGCGGACAGTGAAGACACCAGAAAAAAAACAGAGAGGTGGGGAAAAAAATTAAATCTATTTAATAACTTGAGAAAATACATCTGCAAAGTAACAGACTATGAGCGAAGCCAACATAAGTCTACGTAAGAGGTAAATTTTGCCTCATTCTAGAGTTTTTTTAATATGCCCACTTTCTATGATTTTGTTCTCTATTTTATTTATCAATTTATATAAGAGGACTATTAAACAACAGGGGGCCAGGGGTAAAAATGCCTAACAATGCTATGCTCTCTTTTCAGAAATTCGAAGCACTTGGCAAGGATTATTTACGCATCTTCACAGCACACATGAATCGCAGGCAGAGGCTGCTTTTGCATTCATGTTTAATTAATGGAGATTTTAGTCACGGGTCGGAGATAATCTCTCGGGGTTCATGCTTTGGCTCACGCTATCTTGTTTTGTTTTGTTTTAATTCCAAAACACTGGGCAGCGTAATGACTATTCATTAATGCAATGAAAATAAAATAGAACAAAGACTATGGGAAACAAGATCCTCTTAAGCAAGAATGAGCAAACACGGAGAAGGCACATTAATGACAGCATCGTCCCTGAGCCTTTTTAGAACCTGGCCTCGGTGCCACCACTGGAGACTGGCACTCTGTTGCTACTGTCCTAGGCTTGACTTTGTGCAAAGAGACACAGGGAAAAAAAAAAAAACAAAAAAAACCAAACTACCATTCACTCGTTAGGTAGTGAGCCAGCAATGAAAACAAATGCTGATGATCCAGTTGGTGGGCTTTCATTCCCCCACGTAGATCCTAACGACAGAATTTCCTGCTGATTTTAAATCTGTTTTCCAAATAGTCAATTACAGATAATTATTTGTCCTTAATATTGCCATCTCTTTCATAGGAATTCTGTAAAGATTTTTAAAAGATTATAGTTGTGTATGGCTCTCTAGGACCTCAGGAAAGAGACTATAAATATTTTATTAGCACGGCTGAATGGAGTGTTATTCCTGCATATGATAAATTATATTTTCCTTACTCTTTCTCCAATCTCAGTTTGATCTCCATTTGGTAACTGCTCCAAATCAGGAAGGAGGGCACAGGCTTCCAATACTTGCTCATAAAACTGCTTCTGCATGATGGAGCCAAAGAGAATGTTTTCCTGTAAAATGCAATTCTGAATCCAGGCCTGCTGGGCAACATAAGCCACAGAACCCTAAAAAGGGAAGAAATAAAAGACATGCTCTTAACAAGGGAAAAGAAAAAGTTGCATACACCACATTAAAGGAACGTATTCAGTCCAGTTTTGCTTTAACTTTAAACTGAATTTTTAAAAAACTAGGTTATTTCTTAACTGTAAGTATATCCTATTTACATTTTAATTTTATACATGTTTCATAGAGGCCCCTTCAAATGAGTTACTTTGTACTTCTTATTTGCTTTCACTGTAGTTTCTATCAAAGTTATCTGTCTCTGGTGGAGTTTTCTGGAAGCAGAGGCTGATTGTATTAGTCAGCTCCAGTTGCCGTTAACAAGATACCACAGACTGGATTGCTTAAACAACAGAAATTTCTTTTCTCACAATTCTGGAGGCTAGAAGTGTGACAAGTTGTCTGCAAGGTTGACGTCTTCTGAGGTCTATCTCCTTAGCTTGTGGATGACTGCCTTTTCTTGAGTCTTCACATGGCCTTCCCTCTGTGTGGGTATGTGTGTCTTAATTTCTTCTTCTCTTAAGAACACCAGTCATGGGCGCCTGGGTGGCTCAGTCGTTGAGCGTCTGCCTT